TTTTTTTTTTTTTTTTTTTTTTTTTTTTACAATTCAAACAAAAAAACCCTTTTTTTTTAAATCTGTACATTTTTTTTAAAATTTATAGCGTAATATTTCAATGTGTTCATCTTGGGAGCCGTCCTTTTTTTTCTTTTCGTAGCATGCAAAAAATTCTAAAAAGAGTAAAAAATAATTCTAGGGGTTTGGTTTCGTTTTGTTTGTCTAACCACCTTCATATCAAAAATACGAAAGGCAGCTATTTCCTAAAAGCACAACCCGAGCAGAACGTGGAAAAAATAGCTTGTAATTGGTAAAATGAGGCAGAAATGGCATTGGAGACCGATGCTCTTGGGGGGAAAAAAGTATATATTTTTCAACTTGCAGGAGAAGAACCCAGCCCCACGTTCCCAAGAATGAAAAAGGGGGAAAAAAAATATGTATTTTTCTAAAAGGGAAAAAAAGAATAAAATTACTTCGTGCACTTCCGAAACATGCAAGGAAAGAAAAAAAAAATCAGCTCATTTTAGCCTAAAGGGAAATGTATTTTTTTAAAACTGGTTCATTTGGGGAAGTCTTCTTGTTGTTGCTGCCTGGCAAAAGCTGGGTGCGAAGCGGCGTTGTAAGGAATTCTGCCTTTCCCTTGTTTTCTTAACCAAAAAAGAATTAAAAAAAAAATAATCCTCATCATCCAAACCTCCGAAAAGAAGGGGGGGGAAATCCGATATATATGTTTAAATATTTCTACAGAAGCCATCCGTCATTGCACCATTGCAAGATGCCCACCACCTGCCGGGACAGGTCTGGGATCCTGACTCTAGTTTTAATTATTCTTCTTATTTTAATTGCCCCCCCCCCCATTGCTTATTGCTTTGATTGGAAAGGAGCTGCCTGGCGGGGCTGGGAGGAGGGGGCTCGCTCGCTGGCTCGCCGGGGGCTCGGTGCCGCCGAAGGTCTCCCCAGCCCCGCACACGCGCACACCCCTCCCCGGCGCGCGTGTGTGCATGAGTGTGCGCGTGTGCTGGGCTCGCCGTCGGCAGCGCTCAGTCATCCACGTCAATCTCCACGTCCTCCTCGTCCTCCGAGCAGTCCTTGCTGCTGTTGGGCTGGTCTGTGAGGGGGGAGGCGGGCGAGAGCTGGAGGCGCCCGGCGGGCTCCAGTCCGTGCGCGGGCAGCGCCGGCGACAGCGACCGCGACTTGCCCCGGGCCTCGGCGCCCTGCTCCAGCTCGGCCAGGTTCACGATGTCCAGCTGGGCGCCCGAGCCCAGCTTCTTGGCGGACTCCACGTCCGCCTTCATCTCCTCCAGGTCGCGCTTGAGCTTGGCGCGGCGGTTCTGGAACCAGGTGATGACCTGCGCGT